GAGATGTTATGTGCCTGTTCCTGTCAGCTCTATCACACATGTATAGATGCATAGAGACACCTACAGCCAGGAAATCAGTCAATGCAGAGCGTCTACATTCATTCTATTAGCTCTTCTTCCTCTTCATCTCTTCATCTCTTCATGGGTATAGAAGTCATAGACTCACGGCCCCTGGATCCGGCGTCTTGGATTAGACCTACTGTCAGTCAGTAAATAGAAGAGGCAGTGCATGTTCAGACACACTCACATCTTCTCACCCCCTTTCCTTCGCTTGTCTTCTTCCTGTCTTCTTCTCTCTGGATTTTATGTCTTCTAGAAGTCCTTTTTTATGTCCTTCATGGATCTCTTTAAGTGGTTTCTGCATTCACGTGATCACGTGCCGCGATTTTACTTTTCTTACGCGTTTCAGAGATTCAGCAAGTTACGAGTCGACAAGACAGAAGAGATCAGGAGAGAGGAAGAAGAAAAAGAGATAAGAAGAAGAAGAGAAGAAGAAGAAGAAGTAGAGGAAAGATAGATAAAGGGATAGAGAAGAGGATAAGAGACTAGCAGGATAAGAGAAGAAGTCTCTGAAGCGCGATGGCGATGGCGGATGGCAAAAGTAGGTACTTCTGCTCCATGGCTGGATCCATGCTAAATCTCTGCCAGAAAACCCCCTTGGCCAGGCAGCAACCCGCCGCAGCTCCAGAGTGGCCTCTGCATCCAAGGGCAGAGATGAGACAACCAGAGAGGAGCCAGAGAGGTCCATGTCCATGCCAAAGAGACAGGCAAACATCATGGTGGCCATCCCAGTGAAAAAGGGCAGCCTCGGGGCCTCAGCCTCAACCTCAACCACGTCGACCTCGGCCTCGTCCTCCACGACTGGCCGGAGTCCCGCTGGGTACAGCACGCCTGCTACCACGGCCACTACAACGCCGAACAATGAGACAGAGTTGAGCACTAGAGCCTCGAGAAGAGTCAATGCTACTGCTCGTGCTCTAGAGTTGAGAAACAGCTCTCTCGGCTTGAACAGCAGGAAGAGACCAGCCAACGCTGGCAGCAGCAGACCAAATACGATTGACGATGAGAAGCTGGCTGCTGCACTCCAGGCTGAAGAGTACAATGCCAGACCTACTGCGAAGAAACAGAAGACCGCCCGTGGCTCAAAAGCTAAGCCCGTCATACCTGATTCCGAGTCTGACGCTGAACCAGAGTCACGGCCAGAGTCAGATTCAGATTCAGAAGAGTGGTTCAGCACAAATGAGGAGGCTATCAAAAATACTCCCAAAAAGTGGTCTAGGAGAACGCCCAAGGACTATCGAGCAGTCTCACCCTCAGACTCCGACCTGAATAGCGTGGTAGGCATGGTGACTGACTCCATGGACTCAAGCCAGCTGTCAGACATAAGCTCAATCGCAGACTCAGAAGAGTCCGATGATTTAGTTCCGAATGGCCGCTATCGTCGCCTGGAACGTTTCATAGCTGCAAGTAAACCTACAAGGGTAAGTCCATGTTCCTGTCATTCCAATGTCAGTGGGTTATACTAACCTTCCTCCAGGCTCAGAAAGAACGGATCAAACTTGAGAGGCAGCATCCCCAAATTACAGATATGTGGGAGAAACTAGAGCAGAAGCCTATCCTCTCACCCCCTCCTGCTGCTCAACCAGAGGGCATTAATAGGAAATTGAAGCCGTTCCAGCTCGAGGGACTTAGCTGGATGCTAGCCCAGGAGAAGTCGGAGTGGAAGGGAGGCTTGCTTGGAGACGAGATGGGAATGGGTAAAACTATTCAGGCTGTCTCCCTGCTGATGTCAGACTATCCTGTTGGAAAGCCCTCATTGGTCGTCGTTCCTCCTGTCGCTTTGATGCAATGGCAGGCTGAAATAGAGGTAAGCACCATTCCTTCAACATTCCCTACTAGACAAGATCAAGCTGACATTCCATTAGTCCTATACCGACGGCAAGCTGAAAGTGTTTGTCTACCATAACGCCAACTCCAAGGTCAAGGACGTCAAAGCCAAAGAACTCAAGACCTACGACGTCATCATGGTATCATGTGTGTTCTCCTGGCCTGCAAGTTGGATCAACCCATCTCTAACCTCCTTTTTTCATAGATTCCGGTTTAGAATCAATGTACCGCAAGGAAACCAAGGGCTGGAAACGAGACGGTGGACTGGTTAAAGGCACCAGCATGCTTCACTCCCTTGATTTCCACCGCCTCATCCTCGATGAAGCCCATAACATCAAGCAGCGTACCACCAGTGTGGCCAAGGCCTGCTTTGCGCTAAAGTCAACATACAAGTGGTGTCTGTCTGGAACCCCCGTGCAGAACCGAATCGGCGAGTTCTTCTCTCTTCTTCGCTTTCTGGAAATCAAACCGTTTGCATGCTATTTCTGCAAGACTTGTCCTTGCGAAGCTCTGCATTGGACACAGGATGCACAAAAGAAGTGCACTCTTTGCAACCATAAGTATGTAAACTATCACACTCAGTTTCAAGTCGAGAAGATACTGACATATCTCCACTATCAGTGGATTCAACCATGTCTCCGTATTCAACCAAGAGATTCTCAACCCAAGTAAGTTAATGTTATGAGATGCTTTTTCTTTGGTAGATGCCAGACTAACAGATAGTAGTTACTGAGCATCGAGGCGACGATGAAAAGCGCAAGGACGCCCTGAAGAAACTGCGCCTTCTCACTGACAGAATCATGCTTCGACGAGTAAAGAGAGACCACACTTCGTCCATGGAACTTCCCCCGAAGAGGTGAGTATCTTCAGAGCCACTTTACCAAAGTATAAGTCTAACCTCTGCAGAATCGAAATTCACCGCGAGTTCTTTGGAGAGATAGAGCAAGATTTCTCCCGTAGCATCATGACCAACACTACCCGCCAGTTCGACCGCTACGTCAGCCGGGGAGTCATGCTCAACAACTATGCCAACATTTTCGGTCTAATCATGCAGATGCGACAGGTAGCCAACCATCCAGACCTAATCCTCAAGAAACACGCAGAAGGTGGCCAGAACATCCTTGTATGCTGCATCTGCGACGAGCCTGCCGAAGAACCCATTCGCTCCCGATGTAAACACGAATTCTGTCGCCAGTGTGCAAAGGAGTACATGGCCTCGGTCCAGTACGGCTCCGAACCAGACTGTCCTCGCTGTCACCTGCCGCTCTCAATCGACTTTGAACAGCCCGATATCGAACAAGATGAAGGCGGAGTCAAGAAGAACTCCATCATCAACCGCATCAAGATGGAGAACTGGACCTCTTCAACCAAGATCGAGATGCTGGTCTTTGACCTGTGCCAGCTACGAAACAAGAAACGCACCAACAAGTCCATCGTCTTCTCGCAGTTCACCTCCATGCTGCAGCTGGTCGAATGGCGACTCCACAGAGCAGGTATCAGCACTGTCATGCTAGACGGCAGCATGTCGCCTGTCCAACGACAGCGATCCATCGACTACTTCATGAAAAACGTCGATACAGAGGTATTCCTCGTCTCTCTCAAGGCCGGTGGTGTAGCTCTCAACCTTACCGAAGCCTCACGGGTATTCATCGTCGATCCGTACGTCGTCTCTCTCTCTCCCTTAAAGCCCCCCTTTTTAACATAAAAGCTACGCCCCACTAACTAACCAATGGCTGTAGATGGTGGAACCCAGCTGCAGAATGGCAATCCGCCGACCGATGCCATCGAATCGGCCAGCGACGCCCCTGCGTGATCACCCGTCTGTGCATCGAAGATTCCGTCGAGTCTCGCATGGTCCTGCTGCAGGAGAAAAAAGCCAACATGATCAACGGCACGATTAACAAGGACCAAAGCGAGGCGCTGGAGAGGTTGACGCCAGAGGACATGCAGTTCCTCTTCCGCGGAAACTAATCCTCCCCATAACATAAACCAATTTAAATGACTTTGTACGGAGTATGTGTACATATTTTATGAAACTGAAACGTTTGATAGTTATGTTTGGCTCAGGAACAGCAAGCTTTAGGTTGTTCCTGAAAGTTGTCCACTTAACCTTGGGGGCTGGCTAGAGGTGGCGAAGTCCCAAACGTGTGTCCCTGCCGTGAGCTGGTGAAGTTGACCTGTTGAGCCCCTGAAGAGAATGGCCGGCCTAGTTAGTGAGGATGAGCACGCCCGCCGTCGATCAGCGGCAGTAGACGCCGTGTCTATCCCCCGATAAGGTGCCATGGCGGAGGGATCAGACGGCTAGATAGACAGCTAGATGATGTAACTACCGCTGCAAGGTCTCCCATAGTCAATGTTGTCGAGTCCATTTTTTTCATCCCCCTGAGAGCAGCCAAGAATCAGTCCAGGAGAATAACACAGGGTGGCCAGTGCGTCCTCACAACAACTAAACTAACGACTCCTCATAACCGCAATTCCTTGACTACTCCGTACGTCACCAACATCCATCATGCAACGACAAGAATAGCTCTTACGACTGCGGCTGAGCCACCCAACACTCGATCGTCTATCCAACAGAGTAACCTAACGCGCAACGCAACGGCCGGTGGACGACGACCCCGCCAGAAAACTCTTTGGCTCCATCAGCCTGACACTCACCTCCTGTAACCACAGAAACCGCCGGCACCCTCTTCCGGCCTTCTTCTCGTTGCATATGCACGCAGCCGGCAAACCAGCTCGTAACGCGCATGAAATTGCTCATATATTCACTGGCTAGCTGACAGTCGGAGCTGAAGCGAACCGGGGTCAAGGGGATCAAGGGGACAGCCCTCCCAGCCACCAGCCTTACACCACCTTGCACCCACATCCACCGCACCATGCACCACTGAACCGCGTCTACTCGAATGAGCGATGGCAGAGAAGCGAAAACTGTGGCTAGTGACGGGCCAGGGAGAACACGCCATGCTCCACTACGGTCTTTGCGGTGCGCACTCTGACTGGCGCAGGAGGTGAACAAGCATTTTGGGGGGGCTGATGCGCCCTCATTGCGGGCTCGCTTCTCTTGAGGTTCCATACTGATACTTAGCGGGTGTGCTATATATCCCCCTCCTTTGACGTCTCTCCTCCTCTCCCTCTCCCTTCTTCTTCTTCTATTCTCACAGACATCTATCTTCTTCGCATACTTACACTGCTTGATAGGCTTAACCACGTGATACGTTGCTCTGGTGGGTATACTAGATACAACCACCATGGCAGCCCCAGGAACAGAGCAGACAAATGGGAATACCACCAATGGAACAAACGCAAACTCACGCCAGAGACGGGCTTCAGAGTCTCATCTGCCGTCGGCAAACCACACTGGCCCAGCAGGAGGCTACGATGTCACACCCATGCCGCCTGCGCCGTCAGGATGGACGCTCAAGTTCACCTTCCACCGCGCTGAGAACCTACCCATAGGCGACCTCAGCACCATGGCCTCCGACCCTTACATCAACGCCATACTCGAGACCGGTCTGCCCACCCGCCATCCAAAGCAGGATCCTATTTTCTCCTTCCGCACACCCACGGTGAGACGTACCATAAACCCTGAATGGAACTGCGAATGGATTGTCGCAAACGTACCCTCCTCTGGCTTCGAGTTGAAATGCCGCATCTACGATGAGGATCTAGCCGATAGCGATGACCGGCTGGGAAGCGCCTACGTTGAAGTTAGGGATACTATTTCAGAGTCCTGGCCAGGTATCAAACAACAGGGTTTCAAGATCAGGAAGCGCATGGGTAGTCAGAGAGCTTACTTGCTACGAACCATTGCCTCGACATTCTCTAAGCATGTTGATAATGAAGGAATGCTGTACATGAGCATTGAGTGTCTGGGTAGAACGCCCGGTAACGAAGGAGCTCATCTGTACACTGTTGGACCAAACCACTGGACAAAGCATTTCTCCCCGCTGATCGGCAGGTTGGCAGGCACAAAAGACAAGGTCAAGAGCAAGGATGGCAAACCGTCTGTTTCCCGGTACAAGTGAGTTGATCAATGCTTTAAGACGTTACCAAAATATAAAATGAAATAGTATGATGCTGACGGAAATAGCTTCCAAGCGGTGCAGATACAGCTGACTGGACCCGTGCCCACACCATTGTATCACCGTTACGTTGAATTCCGTCCCTTCGTGGCTGGCATGTTCACTGCAAAGAGCCTCAGGGGCCGTTTGCTCAATCACGCATTGCACCACCAGCACGAACGCATTTACACATACGATCACAGCACTGTTTACGGCGTCTTCCCCGAGCCCTGCATCGACCTGACAAAGCTCTTCCTCGAATTTGTCCAATACGGCCAGGGTGGGCGTATCTTCACCTATGTCATCACTCTAGACGGCCAATGGCGCTTTACAGAGACCGGCAAGGAGTTTGGAATCGACCTGCTCAGCAAACATACCATGCACAGCGATGTATCGATATACATCGCCTACTCCGGTGAATTCTTCGTTCGCAAGATCTCAGGCGACAAGTCTTCTTCCCACGATCACCACCGACACCGTCGTTCTACCTCTGCCGAAACAGAAGCCTCGGAATCTGAACATGAGCCATCTACCGACCCGGCACATTACGAACTCATCATCGACAACGACAGCGGTACCTACCGGCCCAACGGTAGACTCTTACATCTCTTACAAGAGTTTCTAACTCACAATCTGCCCGGGCTAAAGATATCCACCCTGGACTCTCAGGCTGATGCCACGCGCATGGCCAAGCTCAAAGGCAAGCGGCGTGAGATAAAGAACAAGTCTAGCCATAGAATGACGTACCTGCAAAAGAGCTCATCTTCCCTCTCCCTCTCATCTCTATCAAGTTCGGATGAAGAGGATCTCAATGAAAGAGAGAATGGCATAAACTTGAATAACAACGCGACCAAGACTAAAGGGTTTATGAATGGTCTAAAGAATCCTAAGGGCAGATACAAGCGGTGGCTGGAAGCAGACTACGAACATACGACTGGTCGGAAAGAAGAACGGCCGTCGACTGCTCATAATTGATTTCTCGATATTTACTTTTCTGCCGCTCCGTTTTAGCAAGAGACATATTCCGGCTTTCTCGTCTTTCGTTGTTCAGTTATTTTCGTTGTTTCATACTTGGGAGCTCCTTGATGCCCCTGGATGAAGCTGGGTTATTTAATCTCGGGCAATACCTGAATGCATCACGCTGTTATGATAATGACCAGATAAGCTACACCGTATAGAGATGTTTCTTAATGAGCAAAAACGATTAGGGTATATTAATACAAAGGGTATATCTGCTAGTCACATATATATAGGCTTTCAAAAGTCATTACCATCATCCCCGTAGAGGCAATATCTTCGACGCAATAGCCTCCTGTCTGCATAAAGGACACTCCGGCTTCTCCTGCACCCAGTCCCGTATACACGTCCAGCAAAAGACATGTCCACACGTCGATACACTCGGGTCTTTAAACGGATCAAGACAGAGAGTACACTTCCTCTGTGGTCCAGCAGGTATCCATGACATGGCCAGAGCATCTTTCTCAACAGACATATCATACCTCGCTTCCTCCGGTGCCAGCAATGCCATTCCGTCCGGCATGCTAATACTCTTCAATCCAGGGGTTCCTGCAACCTTGGCCGCCGAGTCCGTAGCAGATGCCTGGCCTGCCTCCTCCAGCTGAATCGACTCAATAACTTCCTTCGCATGCACGATCGCCTGCACGGCAATTTGCAATACAAGTAGCACTCCCAAGACTTCATATCCGATCCTCTCCTCGCTATCGCCGATGCGTTTGGTAAATACGTACCGTAACCCCCATACCCGTTTAGATAGATGATAATATGCCCCCGAAAAGTAAAACGCGGCCAAATTCACAGCAAAAAAGGGTGAGAGGGATGTAATCGAGTTCAAGTGTTCAAGGATATATCGCTGAGCCCGCAACGAGAAGCCGACCTCTTTTCTCTTCTTGGTATTCCCCTTCTCCAGCTCAAGCCTAGCCTGTTTCCGCGCAATGCTTCGTTCAAGCTTAGTTCGTAACTTTCGTCGGAACGAAGGTAGTAAGCGCTGTAATATAGAAGGCACCAGTATCGAGCTAACGATATATCCTGCCCTTCGACCTAGGCTCGGAAGCTGTAGCGTATCGTCTTCAAGCTGTACTACATCGCAGTATTCTTCGCCCAGGGTCCTGTTGCCCAGCAGCGTTGTGAGGGAGAGGTAGAGCACTTCAATGGCATGTTTGATGGCGTCGGAATGAGCATGGGCGTATCGTTGGCCGCGGAGCGTGCGGATGATGGACTGGGCTTGTGTCGAGAGCGTGCTGGTGATGTAGCTGTCTTTCTCGTGCGCGCGGATGATATCCGGGGATGTCGCCCAGGGGAAGAAGTAGAATGGTTTGGGCGTCTTGCTGAGCGCCGCGTCAGCCATAGACGAGTCAAACAGGCTATCCGACGACATCTTGTCTGTTGATATTGGTATTCTCTGCCGTCTGCGGCGCCCTTATCTCTCGTTGTCATTCTCGTCCTCTCGCTGGTGTTTCTTTCTGATGTCAAAACTTACCTCGGCCCGTGATAAGCTTTCACGTGACTTCCCGTGACAATTTTGCGGCTCAAAAAATTAAAAAAGTGTCAAAAAGTTGGAGACACCAAGAAGAATCAACAAAAGACGAAACAAACTGGTTGGTGGTTTAACGTCTTCTTGTTTCCTGCCTTTGCGCTTTTGTCTTTTCTTTCGTTCTGTTTCCTTTTTGGCACAGCCAGTGGTTTTCGATGGAATATGGAGTCTGGCACTCTTGAGTCCCCCAAGCTGGACGGGTTCAGTCTTGTCTTGCCTCTGCCTTATCGTGTTGCTGTTATATTAGTTGCTGGTACGTTGAACTAAGAGCTGAAACAACCCAGTGGACTAGCTATCTAATACCCGTCTAGGCGTGTGGGGATGGGGATTGAACGTCCAGTACCTCACAGCTGTCAAAATAGTACGTCATCTACTCAGCTCTTGCTTACCCAAACAAGGGGCTAATTCTTCCTAGGATGTCCCGGCTTTGATACGATATCCATCTCGACCTAATACCGCCGGCACCGTTACCGTTCACAGGTCGACATACCACCTTGCAACCCTCCTTTCCATTCCGCTAGCTATCTCCCTTCTCGCATTCTGGTTCATTACGTACGGCGACCCGGCACGAGTCATTGCCTGGGAGGTTTTGCCGCAATCATACCTGTTCCTCTTTATCGTACTACTTGCGTTCCCGCTCCATCGTCTCTCACGTGGAGGAAGATACAGATTCTTGACCACGCTAAAACGTGTCAGCTTAGGAGGACTTGCTGAATCCCAGGATGGCAAATTCGGCGACATCATACTTGCTGATGTGCTTACCAGCTACTCCAAAGTTATTGGAGATCTATTCGTGAGCTCGTGCATGTTCATCTCGAGTGATGCCTCCAGTACCAGCATACCTGATAGAGCTTGCGGTGGCCATATAGCGGTACCTCTACTCATCGCTGTTCCAAGCATCATCCGGCTACGACAATGCTTGATCGAATTCTCCCGAGTATATAGACGTGGGAATCGCCGTGTTGATGGCTGGGGTGGTCAGCATCTTGCCAATGCTGCTAAATATGCTACAGCACTGCCTGTGATTGCTTTGACTATGTTGCAGCGCAATTATGATGCGTCCGTCATCGGAGTGAGCGAAGAAACATTGCATAAACTATGGTATGTTCATTTTTACTCTACGCTCCCCTTAACCCAGCTTCTAACTTCAAGTAGGATACTCTCTGCCGTCATCAACTCCTCATACACTTTCTATTGGGATATCGACAAGGATTGGGACCTTTGTCTTTTCTCCGATATCGTGGGCCAGTTCCGTCCTACTTCTACTCTGAGAGACGAAAACCCTCACCCATTTGGGCTTCGCGCGAATCGTTTCTTTCACGCCAACGCCATTTACTACTCCGCCATTGTGATCGACCTGGTCCTACGATTTACCTGGCTCAGTCGGCTAACCACACGATTGAACTGGGTCAACGATCTGGAGAGCGGAGTGTTTGCTCTTATGTTTTTAGAAGTTATCAGACGATGGCTTTGGATTTTTCTGAGAGTCGAAACCGAGTGGGGTGAGTCTTTTATTCCTACAGGGTACTTTTACTTGAGCAGAATTGCTAACTCCAAGTTCAGTCCGAAATATCCGTGGCCCGGCTCCTGATGATATTCTACTTGGGGAATTCACCAAGATGGATGAAGATTAAGTGTTCTTCCCTTTCCTATTGTACATATATTAATGGCCGGGATTTTCGTATTCAATACCCCTTAAATATCCTTTATACCTGTATTACCACTGTTCTCACGAGATTATAGAGGGTCCAGAGAAGATGTTAAATGCTTTCGATATTTCATTGTGTTTGTTGATATGATACGTTGATTGCCCTGATTAGACGCGAAAGCTAGATAGGTTATGAATCAGTTATCATACCCTAAACCCAATGGCCGACGTTCAAGGTCATAAACCGTCTGGTCCAACTTCCTGCATTGGACTATAAACAACATCGTCATGGGATGACTGGCTGCGAGAAATACAATACTCCCCAATACAGACCTCAATTTCCGGAATTGCCACAACTTTCTGCAGCTTCGGCCTCACTGTGGCAGTGGGTGTTAGCTTTAGGCTTGTAGTAGCGTGGGGGAACGAGTCAGGTATGTATGTGGCTTGTTAGGCCTAGGCATGGGTCTTAATGGTGTCTTTCCTTGATTATGGGGCCAGTCTAATCCTTCAAGCTGTTATATATGCAGCAATATTGAATGATTTGCATCCTTCAGCTGCTAATCACCTCGGTAAGCGAGTCATGCTTTATCAATCTATAAACGCTATTTAATATTGAACATTAAACGCGTTCGATCGGAAGCTTTGATTAAGATAAGCGCAAAGTCTAAAATAGCCGCCGGTTGAAAAGGGAAAGCTCGGGCCGCGCTAGCTTAACTAGTTAAGGTTTCACGAAGTTTATTTTTTCCTCCTTCTTCCCGTATGTTGGATGCTAGTTAGTTTGGAAACACATAGTGTTCCCATTACGACTCCATGGAGTACAAGGTGCAGAGCTACCTAATGTGGGAGATGAGGGGCTAGGTGACATGGAAATCACTTTTTTTTTATTAAAAGCCCTAGAACTGGAGGGTTGGAGAACAATCTCCCCACTTAGTCACTCCATGCGCCCGATCAGCGCTGGCAAGGAAGGCTGCTTTCCCAGTCCTTAAAGGCTTCTTAAGACTGGCGTCACGCTGTCTTTTCTCTTTTATCCTGTTCAAATGACAATGGCATTCTCATAAGGTCAGACATATAACTCTAGATAACTTCCTGGTCATCTTGTTGCTTTGTCTCATGTATCCCATTCACTCAGCACAAATGACGTTCAGCAGCTTCATGGCGAAGCGATGGACTCGAAGGCGCCTTCATCTGCTTATTGCGTTGATTCTGACTACTATCGTCTACTTATCCCTGTGCAGCTTCGATCCCATCATACCGCTGAAGGCCGCGTTGCCATATTCTCGGTATGGACATAGGTTTCGTCACGGCAGTCATGGAGGCAGACCGACAAATCCATACGTTCTTCAGGCGGCTAGAAAAGACGATAATACCGTTGAAATGGTTATAGCTAGCAAGAAAAGTGAGAATGTCACTTGGCTACACGACTATCTTCCAGACTGGAAGAAGAACATATACGTCGTGGATAACAGTTCTGCGGACTTCACTGTTCCTCAAGATAAAGGGAGGGAAGCGATGGTATTCTTAACGTGGGCTACCTTGTTTCCTGAGAAGTTGTTATACATTCACGATTCTAATCAAGCATCCAGATACATAATTGACCGCTACGACTCACTTCCCGGCAACATATTCTTTCATCATGCGCAGCGGTTCCAATGGCACAATGACGACCCCAACTACGACGCGCTCAACCTCCTACAACAGTTCCGTCTTGATTACCTCAAGGAGGAAGGTTATACCAACTTACGCTGTGACTGGGCTCTAGGTTGTCCCTCCGCTATCAGACCCTGGGTCGATGCCATTGTATTCCTACCCAACGAACACATATCATCAAAACACGTCTACAAGAAATCCTTTGAACAACTATTCCCAGATCAGAGTGTTCCGGAAACTGTGGGCGTTGCATGCTGCTCGCAATTTGCCGTGCGTCGAGAAATAATACAGCAACGCCCAAAGTCAGAATACATTCGTTATCGGAAATGGCTCCTCGACACCGAACTCAGTGATCAACTAAGTGGGCGCGTGTTCGAATACTCATGGCACAGTATGTCATACTCACAACACGTACTTAGATCAAACTTGAAACTTTGCGCTAATATGGAATCACTTAGTTATGTTTGGCAAGAAAGCTATACATTGTCCCAATGCCAGTACCTGCTACTGCAGAATGTACGGACTATGCCATATGACCTGCCAGTCTAAACGCTGCGATGGCCAGTATTTTCTGCCTAAGTACGCGGATCTTCCTAAGGGATGGCCGAAGATAGGTTGGGATAATGAAGACAGACACTGGTCGGGGCCAGAATAGGAGGATATTTTGAGTTTCTATTTCTTCTGGAGTTTATCTGGCTGGGTATGGGGGGCATAAGCGATCTAGAGTTTTTTTTTTTTCCTTTGCTATTTCGGCGACAAGCCGCTATAGTAGTTATGTCGTAGATACCCGTTACTTGAAACGTTTCTATGCTGGTATCATTCTTCAATTGAACGTTGTGGGTAGTTAGCGATTCACTCGCCAGTGGTAAGGGTAGGCCAAATTACACACCCGCCGGTCGGTAAATAAAATCAACGTCTCCCCCCACCACTGTTATCGATGTGTTGGACATGAATGACTTGAAGAGTGAGTTGGCAGAGTATACACGGCAATATGCATGGGTGAAATAGCAAATATACCCCCTTGGCCGATTGGTGATACGACAGGGCATTATGACGTCTTAATTACACGAAGAAACTTGGCCGGTAACTAGCATGATAAGACGGGAACTATTTTTAAAATACAACCAAGAAAAAAGACCAAATCTTCCTCTGACTTCCTAGACAACGCCATGGATGATGGGAAAAAGGGAGGAAGTGGAAGCCGAAACCCGAAACCATGTCTAGAGGCCAAAGGATACCCAAAAGAACAAGAATTTTATTTTTATATATCTACTCTTCGTCTTCGGCAACCTACAGTCGGGATGGTTAGCAGAGGCGACGACGGGAAGAATAAGCGCTAGGTTGAGGTTCAACTTACCCCTTCGTGGAAATTTTTGCCCTCGGTGGTCTCCTTAATTATACCAGCACGAATACACCAATCGCCAAACCGTTCAGGCTGGTCACCATCCGTCTGGCGCTCAAGAGCATACCTCTTCAACAACCCCTTCATGATATCGAGAATCTCAGCTTCCTTGATTGAAGAGCGGTAGAGCTTGTTTAGTCGTTGGCCATGGTATCCTCCGCCAAGGTACATGTTATATGCTCCATACGCCTTGCCCACGAAGGCGACTTCCGCCAACCAAGGTCTAGCGCATCCATTGGGACAACCAGTCATTCGCATCACGATGCTTTCTCGCGACAAACCATTCTCCTCGAGGTACGACTCTACCTTCGTGATGAGAATGGGTAAGTATCGTTCTGACTCGGCCATCGCAAGGCCACATGTGGGGAAAGCAACGCAGGCTGAGGACGAGAGGCGCAAGCCACTGAAAGATGTGTTGTCTAGCTTGTACTTCGCCATTAGGGCTTTGATCTGAGGTAGATCTTCGTCTTTGATATTGGATATGATGACGTGCTGGTTTCCAGTGAGGCGGAACTCGCCCTTGTTCAGCTTGGCGATTTCACGCAGACCGGTTCTCATCAGGAAGTCGGAGGTGTCTTCGACGCGGCCGTTCTCGATAAAGCAAGTGAAGTGGTTCAGGCCCTTTTCATCCTTGATCCAGCCGAAGGTGTCGACGTTGGAGTCGAACTTGAAGGGACGGGGTTCGGCGAATCGAAGGTCTTCAGGGAGTAAGGCTTCTACTTTGCCCTTGAAGACGTCGACGCCCATGTCGTCGACAGTGTATTTCATTCGGGCGTGTTTGCGGTTCTTCCTGTCGCCATGGTCGCGCTGGACGAGCATGATTTTCTCACAGACGATGTGCGCTTGTTTAGCGGGGACATAGCCTAGCATACTGCCTGTTCGGGGGTACGTCTTTTTGTTGTTGTGGGTGACGCCCATGCCACCACCGACAAGGACGTTGAATCCTTCCAGATGACCATCTGCACCCTTGATTGCGATGAGGCCTATGTCATGGGCGTATACGTCCGTATCGTTATGGGGCGGTATAGCGATTGTGATCTTGAACTTTCGAGGAAGATAAGTTGGGCCATAGAGTGGTTCGTGGTCAACAACGGCGTCTCCTGCAACTTGTACCTTGTTATCATTCTCGTCTTTCAGCCAAATTTCATGATACGCGGTAGTTGCTGGAAGAAGGTGGTCACTGATAAGTTTTGACACAGCATGGACTTCGCTGTGGTATGTAGACAGCTCAGGAAGACTGCTGCACATGACGTTTCTGTTGACATCTCCGCATGCAGCGATAGTAGACATTAACGCCCGGTTGATTGCCTGCATAGCTGCTCGTAGTTTCCCCTTAACGACACCGTGGAACTGGAATGTCTGTCTGGTCGTAAGCTTCATTGTCTCGTTGCCTTGTGCGCTACTGATTTCGTCCATCTGCAGCCATTGCGAAGGGGTCGCTACACCACCTGCGAGACGACAACGGATCATGAAGCTATACTTTGGCTCGAGGCCCTGGGCTTTTCGTTCTTCTCTCAAGTCTCGGTCGTCTTGCATGTAAGTTCCGTGGAACTTGGTCAATTGCAAGTCACTTTCCGCGAGAGCACCAGTAGATTCATCTCGTAGGCCCTCAGCAATAGTTCCTCGAAGGTAGTTAGATTGAATCTTGATATCTTCGTTGGTCAGGGGCGCAGGCTCATCCGGAAGTCCTTCAACGTTATCTACCCCTAGAGCCTTCCAGATCTTTGGCTCCCACTCTGAATAACCGGTCTGATAACCATCTGGGTCCTGATCGTCACCTAGGCCGATATCAGCCAGCTTCTTACCGCCCAGGAATGCGAGACGAGCATCTAGGTCTTTGGCGGGCTTGTTGTAGTATAACTTGTCTTCCTTTCGAGGCCAGTAATGGCTATCACCCAGGCCGAAAACGGAATACTTGATAGCACTCAAGTCGAGGTCTCCTGCGTTCTTGACTGTTTCCCAGAATCCACGTCCGTTCTGAGGCAGCTCTCCCTGTCCCGCTGTACTGGTGATGAGGACGATATTCTCTTCCGTTGAAAGGTCCTCGATCGGGTAATCATCCATCGCCATGACCATGGTCTTGAGACCACGGGCTTTACCACGGTTACCCAGCCGCTTGGCCAAATTCTCGCCGTTACCGTTATCGGATGCAAACAGGATAGTTAGAGGAGCACCAAGCAAGCCCTCCATGAGCTGGTCGTACGCCTTCTTCGCAGCTCTCTTCTTCAACGCGCGTACTTCACTGCCATATGACTCTGATAAGCTCGCTGCAAACTTGGGCTCGCGACTCATCAGCTGAGTGAGCTGGTTATCCCTACGAAGGAACTCTTCGAGCTCTCTTCTGATTCTCTCAGAGTCCAATGAGAAATTAGGTAAGCCTTTTTCGGCATTTTCAGGGTTCCATCTGTACAGAGGCCAGTAGCCGGCTTCCACTGCTTTCTTGGTCTCCTGGAGTACTGTGAGGGGGGAGTCACTTTCTTTATGATAAGGTAGATAAGCAACGACGACTGAGGGCCCGTTGAACTGTTCTGCCTCTGCAATGGCTTGGAGGACCTGGGTATATGAGCTATACACTGCGACGGACGCAACGTATGCATGGCCAAAGTTCATTGCGTACAGACCGATATCCTTCTTGCGGCGCGTGGGATCTGCAGCAGTCCGTTGAGAGTATGGCTGGGAGTCGATAATGAGCATGTTGACATTCTCATTTGAGGCGAGAACATGGTGAACTCCGGAATTTCCAAGATCATAAGCCCATGCATCGGAGCCAATGAGCCATTGGGACTCCTTGAAGAATAGCTCCTTAGACTGAAGTAGGTCTTCAGCTGGACCGGAACCATCCGCCGTCAAAGCATCAATGACATCCGGCGCAATCTGGTTCACTTTGGCGGAGTTGGATTCGTTCAAAGCCCACTTGGACAGGAGTTGTTTGGAAGTCTCGTTTGCGAACCCATTGGCTTTAACAGCTTCTTCGACATCCTTTTTGAGATTAACACGGCGTTCCTTTCGAGCAAGCAGGGATCCAAAGCCGTACTCTGGTGAAGCGGCGATGGTGGCGGAGATACCTGCGTTCTGTGATCCAAGTTGGTTGGCAATGTACAAGCGATCACTGAACAGCTGTTTCAGAATCTTGGTGTATGCATTTTCATGGCTAGGCTGTTGAAGCTGGGTATCTGGTTGGGGGATGGTCTCGGTGCCTATGTCGAGGTTCTGAACTGGTGCCTCCAAGGTGAGATTCTGGATGACACCCCTGACTGCCTGGGAAGCTGTTGCGGACTCTATGTATCCTAGTCTATAGCCTACGAGGGTTGGTGTAGGTCTAGTGCTGGATGGTGGTTGGGACACGCTAGATAGGAGATCAAGGAAAGACGGTCCCCATCTGGTTGTCTTGCGGACCTGTTCGAGCACGGCTATGCGCTCGACTGAATCCGGTATAGCACGGAGTATCTGGCTGCCTATCCAGGGCCGGTAAAGCCTGGCGGTGATGATGCCCACATCCTTGAATTCGTCCTTGTGAGCCGGGTTGTTCAGGGTATCGAGAAACACGCCAGTTGAACCAAAGATGAACAATGCTAGTTTTGCGTTTTGGGGTCCCGAGTACTCAATGGCATGATAGTTGCGACCTACTCTGGCCGAGAAGGCATCCCAGATGATGCTCACTATCTGGAAGATGTCTGCGGCATCGACTGGGCGGGTGGTGATTGTCTCAGCCGTAGTCGCAGATGAACTGGGCACATGGCTGTCGAGAATACTGCCCCGTCGCGAGGAACCCACTGATGATGGGTCTACGCTAGGAGCCGCAGATTTAGGAGACGGGATAGGGAGCGATGTATCAGCCGAGGCAGAAGCATCAGCAGGATTGATAACGGGCCCTCCGAAGCCCTGATCAGTAACTATGGCGACTCTCCCTGAATCCGCATAGATGGTCTGGGGCACGTCCACTGGTGTATGGGTAGCCCTAACGGGACTGATTTCTAGTATATCTTTGACAAAGGCGGCATCCTCTGCCACGACCGGCTGGTCCTTTTCTGAGATGCGCAGGTCAAAGAAGTGAATGACTCCCTTGCCCGACGTCAGGGCCAGCGCATGAGCAGTGAGACCGATATCATGGGCCTCCTGCAGGGTCTCTGAGTGCAAGAAGGAGAAGCCGCATTGTCTAATGGAGCTTATGACGGAGTAGTCTGCGAACTGGGAGGGTTCTAGGTGCACGTGGATGACAATGGAGTAGTTTGCCAGCCTGTAGAGGTGAGGTATGGCGGCCAACAGGACCGTTGACGTTGTTGTCACTGAAACCGTCTGCCCCTGCTGGAGAGGGTGGTATGCTGAGAGCAGGGGGTCCTCGTTGTGGCGCACAGGGCGTATCTGCTTGGAGTTAGCTTGGCCTGAACCTGACAGGGGTGTACTATATAAAAAGACAGGGTAGGGACTCCATAAGTTAGGAGCAATCTTACCTCCGGAACCGCATCAGACAGCACGTTCTTGACCTGCTGCTGGGCCAATCTGCTGAGGGTGCCCGAGAAGACTGAATCTGTCTCCTTGGTCGGCTGGACCGAGAGCACTACATCGCTGGAGAGGTATGCCACTCTTGCCACTAGTAATGACCGTCAGCACCACATCTACACACCAGTCCTCCCAATTGACCACCTAAGAACTTCATGAAAAACAAAGCAATGCCTCTCTATCAGCGAGAGCAGGCCTAGACAGACGTACCAGCCTCTGCTGCGGTGGTGATGCCCGCCATGCTGCCGTCAATGGCTCTGCCGAGCTGCCGCTGCCAGTTCGTCCGTCTGTCCGTCCACGCTGGAGATCTAGATCGGCGTTAGCAAGGGACCGTCTCAATGCCACCACCCACGCCCACACTCACCTTCCAACTGACCAGTACAGCCCACTGACGACGCCAACAGGTCTGTCACCGACGACTATCAAGAAGAAGAAGAAGAAGAAGAAGTGAAGTTGAAGTCGAGGTTGGAGTCGAAAAAAAAAAGGCCTTTGAAGTCTTTCCCTTTTAGGCTCGCTCGTCAGGTGACTTGGCCTTGATCACGACATCTGCAAACAGCGCAAACTCGGCTCGACTTGGTAATTCTTTTGCTTCTATTCGACGAGAAAGAAGATTTATTTAAAGATATCAGAAGAGATTATTAAAGACTTTGGGCTCTTCTTTATGTTGTGATGCTGAAGGATCTCGGTCGAGACAGCAGATAGAGAAGAAGAAGAGAGGAAGAAGAAGAGAAGAGAAGAAGAAAAGAAAGGCTCAGGCTCTGCTTTGCTAAGTGCGGCATTTGCATGTTCTATTGCGTGATCACCCTCGGCCCAGCTGGATACTAGTAGGCTTGCACAGACAGACAGACATAGAGAGAGTGTGTGTCTGTGATTACAATTAGTAAGAAGTGATTTGTAAGTAGGAGGTAGTAGTGGTGGTGGTTATGGTGATAATATAGAGTCTATGCATAGAGAAGAAGAAAGAACATAAATTGATAGAGCCTCATAAGTAATAGCAGTTACCTAGGAACCCAGAGTCATGATAGCGATAGTAATAGACAAAAAGACAGAAAAGAGACTGAAGACAACAAGATAAGATCCATCCGTAGACAAGATGACCCGTAACGCCAAAGAAGAAGAAGAAGAAGAAGAATAAGGTCAGTCAGTAGCCAATTCGCCATGCTGTGCGTGTGTGCGTGTCCAAGAAGTAAACAGGTCGATGTACAGTGCAGTGCGTAGTCTCCTCAGGGGCAGACCAGGGGGTATATATAGTTATATACTCATTCAAACAAAAAGTCGAAGGATGATGATAGTGTGTAGCTCGTCAAAACTCCCGCTCGTCCTGAGACTGGCCGTACATCTTCAGCGGCGGGACAGTACCCGGTCTAAAGTTCGCAGTGGCCGGAGACTGCGGTAGGGAGTGCGGGTGGTTCTGCGGCTGTGTTGACGGCGTCAGGGGCACCACCACGGCCTGCAGCACTCCAGGGGCAGGTATAGGCGGACCGGTACCTGACCGACGCCGCCTCTCTCGCTCAACGGGACCGCTGCTCTCCGTGGGGACCATGCGGTAACTCGAGTTGAACCGCCGGTTGACGCCAAACATCCAGTCGTCATCTTCGTTGCGGTCCAGCCAGTAGCCCTTGCCAACGGAGACCATGGCCCGGCCCAGCTTGCCCTTCCAGCCCTGCCCGTCAGGACAGTCCGGCATGAACGGATTCGGGTTGGTCTCGGGGTAGTCCGTGGTGCTAGTCGTGGCCGTGGAGCCATTGCGTTGGTGTTGGTGCTGCTGCTGCTCGGACCGGCGGTAGAAAGCATGCAGCTTCAGACACTGTCTCGCAAAGGCCATCATCACAAAGACAAAGTACAGCCGCACCACCCACAGCACACATATGATGGCCAGGCTAGGCAGGCTCTCGGGCTGCAACATGCCCTCCTCCAGCGCCGAACCGCCCGACTTCCCCCTCGTCGTGGCCAGCGGCATGTCCTCCGTATCAAACGAGACGCTGTACCGTCTCCCTCTCCCATGCGGTGGCCCTCCAGCCGTGAACCCAGCCGAGTCCTTCATGGTCGACCCGCCGGGCCCTCCGCCGCCCGAAATCATCTGGAACCAGGTCACGGCGAACCCGGCGGTGTACGCTGCATTCACCACGCTATCGATAAGGTAAAACCATGCGAGGGCAAGACACTGCAGCGGCGCCTGCTTGCGGATGTACGGCGTCAGGAAGATGGTCAGGCCCAGCGCGAGCATCGAGTAGATGTACATCGACAGCTGGACGGGCGAGAGCTCGAAGCCCGTCAGGATCGAGAGCAGGCCGTAGATGCCGATGAGCTTGTTAAGCAGCATCGAGAGTGCGATCAGCGTAGCGCCTGTCTGCAGGCTCATGATGTAGAAGAAGGACTGCAGTCGAAAGCGTTAGTTGGTTCCCAACGGCGTCACGAGAGCAAGTTGAGATGCCGTTTTTACCTACCTGCGGCCGCGGAGCGCGGAGGAACCGGAACGACAAGAAGCCCATGGTCACTCATCAAGGGGCGTTTTTTTCAGCAGGCAAACCAGGGATACAGAGATGAAGAGGAAGAAGAAGAAGATGAGGAAGAATGATGGAAGATGAAGATGAAGATGGGATGGAATTCGACGTCAAGCTGGTGGAGCGAGGAAAACTATGGAGCAGCAGCAGGAAATCCTCCGGCAGCCCGAGGAACGATGGGACGGGAGCGAACTTTTCGACCGAGCCGATAGGTTTAATGTGTTTAATTAATGGTACTAATAATATGACTGCAATAATTGATATTTTATTAGCGAAGGATCCCAGCGCTGATTCTACTTGTCCGATTGTGAGCTGCCAAGTGGCGATCCGCCGGGGTTTGATGCCCAAGGTCGCTAGTCACATACATACAGGCACGGCGACGGCGATAGTGATACTGATAGTACTCCGTAGTAAGTACTGATTTTTATGCAGAGGGACAGAGTTATGCCGGAGCGGGATACGGGCTTGTGTGGATGCGAGGCGTTGATAGCTGTATTATTTATAGACTAGCTGGTGCATGGCATGGCATGGAATATTAAGAGATAGCTATGTAGATACTAAGATGCAGGCAAGAAAGGGCACTGGCAGCAGTGTTGGATGATGGATGATGGATGATGGATGCAGGTCGGCGCAGCGTGGGAGCAATGTTGCAGGCTCAGTGTAGGCTGGATGTTTTGTATGCAGGGCGTAGACACGGGGGGTGTGTAGAGACATTGATAGGGAGTATATGATTTACCCCCGTAGAAGTCGAAAGGGAGGTCGTCGAGTTTCGTGAAGGGTGTAATGTTAGCAGGCACAGGCGTCGTTGCTCACCGGCTTCGTCGGGTTGATGCTCACATCGATCACTGCAGCAGTCAGTATAACCATCTATTAACAGATATCACTGCATCAGACAGGAAGACAACGTACTCTGGTTGTCGCTGTTGGGAGTCTCCCCCTCCATGCCCGGCAGCGCCTGGGCTATCTTTTTAAACAGGTTCTTCACGTTATGTCCCAGCTTCGCACTCGTCTCGATGAACATCAGCCCGTTCTTCTTCGCCTCCTCCTCGCCCTGCTCCGTCGTGACCTCCCGCTTGTCGTTGAGATCCGTCTTGTTGCCGACCAGTGCGATGATGACGTCGTTCCCTCGCTCGTCACGCACGTCGTCTACCCATTTGCGTGTGTTCTGGAACGACTTTGCGTTCGAGATGTCGTATACCACCACCGCCACGTTCGAGTTCTGGATATACGACGGTATCAGGGAGCGGAACCGTTCCTGGCCGGCCGTGTCCCATAGCTGCAGACGCACCGTCCGGTCTTCTAGATACATTGTCTGTTCCCGTCAGTCTCTCCATCTTTCGTAGGGTCTCTCTCTCGTAGTATTGTCGAGGCAGCAGGATATCGCACCTTGGAGAGGAAATCAATCCCTATAGTGGCCTGGTACGTGTTGTCGAACGAATCGTACATGAACCGGGTGATCAGCGAGGTCTTTCCAACTGTCTCTCCGTCAGCTTGTGGCCTGCCTTGTAGTTTGTAGTGCATCATCTGTCTCTGCCCGTCTGCGTACCACTCTGTTCACCGAGAAAGACCAGCCTGTGCCCTCAAGTCAGCTTCCATCCCGCACCAAAAACCACCCAAAAACCACCGCAGACTCACTTGAACTTCTTCAGCGGGTTCGAATACGACCCGACCTGCGACTGGGAGGCCATCGTGTCTCGTTGTTCCGGCTTGCGTACCAAAAGGGGGTAGGTAGGGAGTCTTCAGATAAATTTATAGTCCAGCTAACGAGGTTACTCGACTGTCCACCAAGCAAACACGCAGTCGTAGTTGGGACCTCGCAGCCAGCAGCATCAAAGGGACACTAAACAACAAAAAGAAACCTCCCCGTAGCAGCAGAAAGAAAAGTAGTAGATCTCTGCTTCTTCTTCTTCTTCTTCTTCTTCTTCTTCTTCTTCTTCTTCTTCTCTTCTCGTCCTTTTGAGCATGCAAAAAGTCCTGCGCGGCCACTTGACTTAAGTTACCCGCGCGGCCGCCCACCCAATCACGACGCCGCAAGGCCTCCGTCGACTTTCCTCGTCGCTTTCGCTGCAGCATCAAAGAGAAACGCAACATCAACACCAGCACCAGCACCAGCACCAGCAGACAAGCAAGCCAGCAAGCAGGCAGGCAGGCAGGCAAACTCGCATCCCGACCTTCTCGACCGCTGCTGTTCTCTGCTCCGTTTCTTCGTGCGTCGACGTCCTGCTGCACCGCTCGAGAGGCGCAAGGATGGGCTACAGCTACTACCACGGCCTGGGCGGCTTGACCGTCGCCCTGACGGTTGTCGGCCTGTGTACGTCTAGTTACTCCTCCTGCCTCCAGCCACAGCTTCGGAGGCATAGTTGAAGACCAGATATGGCTGACTCGTGCTTGTAGACATGCTCTTCAATGGCGAGGGTGAAGCATTCAACGTGAGTTCTTGACCCGGGCGTAGTTTATTTACCCAGCAGCGTGCGATAACTGACAGCTCCCTAGGTCGGCCTCTTCCTCGAAACTGTCTCCCCATACGCATTCGCAAACATAGGCATTGGACTGTGTGTCGGTCTATCGGTCGTCGGCGCAGCATGGTCAGCAATACCTCTCCCCCCAACACTCTCCTGCTTCAGCCATTCTAAACAACTTTATCATACAGGGGTATCTTCGTCACTGGCTCCTCCATCATCGGCGGCGGTGTTAGAGCTCCCAGAATACGGACCAAGAACTTGATCTCCATCATCTTCTGCGAGGTCGTCGCCATCTACGGCGTCATCATGTCCATCGTCTTCTCCTCCAAGCTCTCGTACGTATCCGAAGAGAGCCTCTACTCAGGCAGCAACCTCTACACCGGCTACGCTCTCTTCTGGGGCGGTCTCATCGTCGGATCGTGCAATCTCATCTGCGGCATTGCAGTCGGTATCAACGGAAGCAGTGCTGCCTTGGCCGATGCTGCTGATTCCAGCTTGTACGTCGCCCAGCCCTCCCACCACTACTCGCAGTCTCCATACTAACTGCCTCCAGATTCGTCAAGATCCTCGTCATCGAAATCTTCAGCTCTATCCTCGGTCTTTTCGGCCTTATCCTCGGCCTTCTTGTTGCCGGAAAGGCGAACGAATTCAAGTAAACGCTATACAATGGCCCGATCGTGTTGTGATTTTGGTTAATGATAAAATATACCACACCCCCCATCTACCTCCTGGGGCCTTCATGCATAAATGCTCCCACCCATTTCTCCCACCTTCTCGTGACTGTTTCGTTGATCTCGTGTTCCTCTTTATATTGAAAGTATGCCTTTTTTTCACCGTGGCATGGGCGTTCGGTATCCTTCCTCCCTTTTCTTTTATATTAATTCCTTCGCATACATAGAGTGCATTCGGTCAGTCAACAGGCCCTGGCGGCATGCGGGAAAGCAGAACTCGTCTTCTCTTCCTCGTTGCGGACCCGAGGGCCTGACGGGTGTGGATGTAAAATAATAGGTTAGCCCTTGTATTTCGAATATTTAGCCAATACATCTCTCTTGAAGACGATATTCAATCCTCTTGATGCTTTCGTTATGCCTGTCAAGAATTATTGGTTAACTCATAGCAACAACATCCTTGCTAGTTAAGCCGGCTAACTAAACAAAACATCTGGAGAACTGCGGAGGAACAGACGAAACCTCGACTCATGCCATACAGAAGACCAAACAACAGACTCTATCTATATATATACAATACTACATCTTGAAATGTCGGATCAGCGGTTCAGAGCAGCTATCCTCATCGTCTCGGACACTGCTGCCCGTGACCCTTCCACTGATGCTGTAGGCGGCATCCTGACGGACGTCTTCAGCCAGCACGACAGATGGGAGAAGCCGACCATCGCCATCGTTCCTGATAGCATACTTGAGATTCAACGGCATATCTCTCGCTGGTCTGATGGCAACGATCACTTCAATCTCATCATCACCTCTGGTGGGACGGGCTTTGCGGTCAGGGACAATACGCCCGAGGTGGGTTGCTCTCCAGACTTCTATAGAACAAGTAATATGAAGAAGATAGATGCAGTCTGACTCGTGTATAGGCCGTTCTGCCTTTGATTCACCGACATGCTCCAGGGATTGTGTAGGTGGACTACTGGATGTATCAGATTGACTGGTTCTGACCGCGGTTATAGGCACGCGATACTATCTACTTCATTGGAGATAACACCATGTAAGACATAGCTAGTTACCTTACCCTCCAATACATGGCGATAAGCGTACCTAACGATGTATAGTTGCTATGATGTCAAGACCTGTTGCAGGGGTACGACACAAATCAATCATCATTACTGTCCCCGGATCTCCCAAAGGTGCAAAAGAATGCGTGGAAGCAGTTATCAAAATACTACCCCATGCATGTGCCCAGGCAGCAGGCGCTGATTCAAGGACTCTGCATGCTGGCGGTATCCAGAAGCTAGAGAAAGAAGCCGGGATAGCCAGCCATACTGCCGTGTCGTCAAAGCCTGACGGAGGCCATCACCACTGTCCCCATCATGGCCACGGACACGGACATGCTATACCCAAAGCACATACGACCGCAGCAGAGAGACCAAGCTCCAATGATCCAGCTACTGGCCCAACTAGACGATATCGTACCTCTCCATACCCCATGATCTCCGTGGATGAGGCTCTCAAGTTGATATCAGAGCATACACCCGATCCTACCGTTATCGAGGTGCCCGTGGACATCTCGCTTGTTGGCTCGGTTATAGCCGAAGATGTCTTTGCTGCCGAAGCTGTCCCTGCCTATCGAGCCAGCATTGTCGACGGATACGCCGTCATTGCCCCTACTTCTCCCGGTGAAGGTGTTAGTACAAAGGGCCAGTTCCCAGTTGCATCCGTCTCCCATGCACAAGCTGCCTCTATGCCTCCCCCATTGACACCTGGAAACATCGCTCGTATCACGACCGGGGCACCGCTCCCAGAAAATGCTAATGCCGTCGCCATGGTAGAAGACACGGTTCTGGTATCAACCACCCCCGATGGCAAGGAAGAGGCTGTCGTCGAGATCCTAACTGCAGATATCAAGGTAGGAGAGAACATCCGCGAGCCAGGAAGCGATGTCAAGCTCGGCTCCAAAATCCTGCAAAAGGGAGACCTCATTACCGATGTAGGAGGGGAAATCGGCCTACTGGCTTCCACCGGCACCAAGACAGTGAAAGTGTACAAGAAGCCATGCATTGGCGTCCTTAGTACTGGAGATGAGCTGGTCGAACACTCTGACCCCATCAAGCTTACAGGCGGCCAAATCAGAGACTCAAATCGCCCTTCTCTAATCTCATGCTTGACTTCATGGGGTTTCCCAACCGTCGACCTTGGTATTGCAAAGGATACATCCGGTCACCTGGAAGAGCTCCTCCGTGATGCCCTACGCGGCGCATCACCCTCCAATCCCTCGGGTGTAGACGTGATCATAACCACCGGCGGCGTTTCAATGGGTGAACTGGACTTGCTGAAACCCACCATTGAACGACAGCTAGGAGGCACCATACACTTTGGGCGCGTGTCGATGAAGCCAGGCAAACCAACTACTTTTGCAACCCTACCGTTTAAGCCTAGCTCCCCTGATTCGAACCAGAGAGAGAAAAGGGTTATCTTCTCTCTTCCTGGCAACCCTGCTTCAGCATTGGTTACGCTTAACCTGTTCGTCCTGCCGTCGCTGCATAAGACCATGGGGTTAGCCCAGAGAGGACTGCCAGTTGTAAAGGCTTCGTTGACACACTCTATTCCCAAAGACCCCAAACGTACCGAGTACCATCGTGCCGTTGTGGGCTCATCTGAGGAAGATGGCCGACTACTTGCTACAAGCACTGGTATTACCGGTGTAGGCCAGCGAAGCTCAAGGGTTGGGAGCATGGCTAAAGCTAACGCATTGTTGGTCCTTGAACCTGGCTCTGGATCGATTGAAAAGGGGCAGTTAGTTGAGGCCCTGATGATGGGGCCTTTGATTTGATGATTGATGATTTATATTAACTAAGTAACAGAACCGAAATCAAATATTATATCCAATATTATCTATATACAATGCAGAAGATGTCAAACATTGTAGAACCTAGAAACCGGTTTTCACGAGCTTCATCCAATAAAGCACCAGTAGACACCAATCTTATTTTCGTTTCCAGTGACCATTACCATAAGTTTGCAGCATATCCTGATAGCAATATCATCATTTCGCCATTTTCCAACCCTTTTTCTTCTCCGCTCTAAGCGCCAATAATGCCCCATCTCTGCCAGGAACTCTTCCTATTTCCACAACGATAAATCGTACAAAATCTTGCAGTGTCCAGTAACTGCTATGTGCACTGAGCATGTTGAGATATTGAATGTTCAAAGGTCCGCCGCCAACATTGAGGTAGAAATCTATTTGTCCATTGTCGTTCAAAAGCGCCATGCGTGTTTCGGCGATTTCCTCGCGGGTGAAATCATGAGTCTCCAGTTCGATATTTGAAGGGAGCTTGGATATTGTAGCTGCGGCGCCGTGAGCGGTACTACCAACTGTTGCACCGGTGGTATATGTTGTGCCCCAGCGGAAAACACTCGTAATGCTTTGCAAAAGTGAGGTTGACGAACTAGGTATAATCTTTGGTTTGAGCGAGTTTGCCAGATCAGCATCCACCGCTGCATTCAAGCGGTACGCAATAGGATCCGTATCATTTAGGATGTTATATATATTATCGACTGCAAGGCATCCATATTTTCCAGCCTGACCAGCTATTCCGCGTCCTGCGTCCTCACCATGGTCCATGCCAGGCTTGTTCCGACCCTTGCGTGGAAGAAGGACGGACTTGTTGAGAAGCAGGAAAAATCCTACAGGACTACCGCAGAGGAATAGGTTCTTGGTATCAAACTCGAAAATGGCCTCGCTGATTTCAGTGCTGGAGAAATCGATGGACGGAAGAACAGTCGGTTGATGCGAAAGGATATCCACTGCCATGACCGTTCCCAGGGAATGAGCGATTATGTGTACTCTTCCACGGGATTGGAAGCCAGGGTTATTCCGGCACCAAAGCCGATATATTCGATTTGCTTCTCTGACCACCGCATGTACCATTTTCTGTTTATGATGAGACAGATAGTATGGGATGTCAAGCATAACATCGCTGATCAAATTTCTGACTCCCGGAATTGTGTCTGGAGTGATATCTTTCAACGAAAAGTTGTTTGCATGAGGATCCTCGGCTGCCGAAATGCTTTCTTCCGCACCTTCAAGAGATAGAGTTGTTCGCCAATTGACTGGGAGCACCATGATGCTCTCTTGACCTTGACGCATATGTGGCCATACCGCATCGCTGCTCAGCTCTGCATTCACGTCTTTTCGAAAGGCGTTGATTGCATGGGTGAAATGGAAACTCTCAACTCGTTCAGATAGTTTTTGGCCAATGCCGTGTATAACCAAAACAAGATCACTCACATCCTGCCTCTTATCCTCCATTTGACAGGCATAACAGATTTGTCGGCGAGAAGCAGATGGGCCAGCAGCCATCTCGCGCATCTTCATGAAATTCCTTGCGTTTGTAGAAACGAACTTTGACGGATGCAATTTATCCCATAGTTGCGGGCTGAATCCTCGTACCACGGGGATGCCAATTTGTCTGCCCTTTCGTACAGAGGCCAGGGGTCGACGGCCGCGTGCAACTGATGGCAACAGACTTGGTCGTAAGATTTGTGCCTCCTTCGCATTGACGTATATGACACTGGAAGATTTGAACTGCCGTACGGTATCTACCTGGCCTTCCACACCACCAGCGGCTCTATTTACACTGAAATCAAGATGCGTTGCATGCTGTGACAGATGTGCGCTTCCAACGGACATAATTCCAGGCGATTCACGGCCGGCCTTGTCTGCTTTCTTCGGTACCTCATCAGGCCAGAGCTTGTATATAATTTTTTCCTCGGCCTCCGCGCCATTTTCTATACAGCTATCGAGCTCGTCTTGCCACGTTTGTGTCCAGGGCTTCAGTTCCATGTAACCATCTTCCAAATGATTCGCGAGATCAGTTTCTACAGGAAGCATAGTGTTCTTGTAAAACCAAGTTGCTCTAATAACATTTGAGATATCATTCACTGGGCTCCAGTAAATGGGCTTCATCTGTAGTTTCGGCAATTCTACGAGATGAAGGCGCGTTGCGCCTACGGTCACCGTTACACCTGCGTCAACAACTTCCGAGCCGGTGGTTGAAGGTCGGGAATCTGGTTTTGGAGAAGGTGTCTCTCGAAGTTTGGGTTTGACTTCATGGTCTAGCTCTAGGGCTGCTTTCAATTGCGTAGTAGAATTGTTGTCTCCGTTGAAAGGGCGTCTCATTTGTTCAAGTATATCTTCGTTGCCCCAAGCTGAGCTAGCAGCAGAATCCGATCGATCTCTAACCGGCGCCCGAATGAATGGAGATCCAGTAACATTGGTATCAGCCATGGTTCGCATCCTCCCGTCGTCACCGTTCTGAAGCGGCGTCCCACTTCTCGTAGGTGTTCCGGGAATAGGCTGAACAGGAGAATTCTGGCATTTCTGTAGCTTTTCACAAGTTTCATAGGATCCGAGAGTTCTTCGTCGTTGCTTTGACTTTTCGAAGTCCGGTAATTCAGCGTTTCTAGGTTTTGGTACGTTGGAAATTGATTCCTTCCCAGCAGCTACACTGCCATCCACAAATATTTCCCGAACCCCCAGCGAGCTTCTCCGGTTTTCTCTTCCCTCACCCCGTAGCCGGGAAGCTGGGAGGGTTTTACTGTTTTTGATAAGTTTTCCATCTGACCCTCGCCGGCTTCGTTCGACAGCTGGAGGTATTCCTCGAAGTCTCAAAGTGCTTTCCCGGGAACCAGAGGCTCTGGAGTCACTTGTATTTTCCCTCTCAAAATCAGCCCGCAGAGCCTGCCAAGCTTCTTCCAGAGCTATACTGTCTCGGCTTGAAAACGGTCTCGTCGGCAGCTGTGTGTTGGAGTTGGTGGTCGGAGCTGTGATTGGTGTCAAGGGATCATCGATTGGGAGCGATGATAGGTAGAAAAACTGGGCTCGAACGGTAGGTGGTGGAGGGATT